GATGGCTCGCTTTTGGGCTAGAGTAGGATGCTATGCTGCTTGTACGGGACATGAGCGAGTTTATAAAATGGCACATTGGGAACAGAAAAAATATAGAAATGGACGTTTTGATGCTTTTTTTACAACACGATAGCCAGATGGACACACATAGCGACAACTTTAGGAGCACTGCTATGTACAAAGACAAGGTGGTATCGGTCATGCTATGGGTATTAGTATATGCGTTTTGATATCTACCAGTCACTATTCCATACATTACTCCTTCTTGGCAAACCGTGACAAGGCCGGTCCCAGATCCTCTTCCACCTCCTTGCGCTTCTTGTCGTTCTTCTTCTGCTGTTCCTTCCACAGCTCGTCCACCCGCAGCCTCTTCTCGTCGATAATGTTCCTCTTGCGCTGCTTGCGCAGATACTTCTTCAGCGCGCCATTCTTTCCTCTCGCGCGGTTGCGAATCTCCTCCGCGACGTCGACGGGCTTGGCGTCGAGGTCCTTCTCGGCCTTGCGCTGGGCGTCGGACCTTAGGTCGATGTTGCCGATGAAGTTGGGGTCGAGGGCAATCATCTCGGGCGAGAGCTTGTTGAGCAGGCCCTTGACCTCGGTCTCCTGGCGCTGCTTGGCGGTCTCGAAGGGGTTGGCCTCGAAGGCGTCAAAGTTGGCCTCGCCGGCGCCGGGGACGATGATGGACGAGAAGCCCTTGTCGTGGCTGATGCCGAGGACGTCTTCGAAGGGGCACCAGCGGACGCGCTCGACGGCTTTACCCTCGCGGCCCCATTTCATGTATGGGCGCCGTACGCGCTCCTGCTCGGCGGCGTTCTTGTTGAAGAGGCCCTTCCAGATGGTCGTCGAGGTGCCCCAGCCGACGGCCGTGAGGCCTGTGTCTGAGATGGCGACGGAGGACGCGGGTGTGTATGTTGAGTAGGTGTTGACTTCTTTGAACATTCGAATGTCCCAGATTGCCATGCGTGCGTCTTGGCCTGCGGAGACCATGTATCGGCCTTCTCGATCGACGGCAACGGACCGCACGGGACCTCGGTGTGCTAATAGCTTGACGACTGGTTCGGCTGAGTTTGGTGACCACAGGGTGACTGTGCCGTTCTGGTGGCCGGCGTGTATGATGGCGTTGTAGGGGTTGTGGGTGAATGCGGTGGGAGGGCCGAGGCGGGATGGGATCTCGGCGACGACTTGGCCGGTTGAGGTATCTTGGTATTTCAGAACACCACCAGTGTTCTAGTCGATTTTGTTAGCAATTCATACCCTTTCACGGGTTGAGACATGGAGAGGTCCTACCATTGTGGCCAAGAGAAAGTGGTATGGGAGAAACTCCATATGTGTGACCTCGGAGTGCTTCCGCAGGCAATGCAGCTCGACACCATTGCGGTCGTAGATGTAGACGTATTTCTTCTGCGCTACCGCAAAGAATTGGTTGTTGTGCAGCCATTTTACGTCTCTGACTGTTTCTCCCAATTGGATCTCGCATCCCAGCTTGCCTTCTCGCCAGTCCATTGTCGCGACATGGCCCTTTCGGCCACCGATCAGCAGCTCTCGTCCGTTTCTTGAGTAATCGCATACATAAGGTCCCAACTGGTCTAGGTTGAGCTCGAATCGCTTCTGCGCCGTCTCGACTGCCACATTGGCCACGATGTCGCCTTGCTTGACGTTGTATGTTCGTTCCAGCTCTCCTTCGGCCTCGAGGAATCCGGGCGTGTTCTCCAACAGGATCTCGGCATCCTTTGCTTTCAGCGTCGCATTCTGATACTTGTTCTCTAGCTCTTTCAGATTTCGTCGCAGCTTCTTGTCCTTGATCTGCTTGGTGTTGATCTGTTTGCCTCGACCGTAGGCTTGGTTCGCTTCTCGCATCCGTCGAGCCTTTTCTCTCTCGGCGCGGGTTGCAATGTCTGTCCGAGGCTTCTGAGTGATGATTGCCTCGCTCTTCCGCGCTGTTGGCGCTGTGGGCGCTCTCTTGACATCTGTGTCCGCACTCATTGCGCCGGTGTAGAATTTCTGGCGATTTTCGTAAACTCGAGAATCGGATGCTGGACTACTCGCAGAAAACAATTGGTATCGAAGTTGCAGCAGACAAAATTTCCACCGCCCAGGCTCTGGCGCGACCTATCGCAGCGTCGCCATTGGCAGGGCTCTGATCTGCCGGCCCACCGCGCTTATCGATAATGTGCCACAACAAAAAATTCTTGATAACCGAAAACCCCACCATCGCAGCGATTCTGCATTGTCTTGCGCCCAGTGCAAATACAAAATATCCAGAGCCTCAGTTTTGAGAGAACAGAAATTGATCTCACGACTTGCAAACTGGCATCGTTACCTTTTCGGTTCAAGGCTGGTGGCGACGGGAAAATGTCTGCTGCCGTGCACTCGCACCGGCCCACGACGAAAGTCACCCACAAGCCGTTTAAATCAAAGGCTGCTTCCAAGCATGAGCTGAGGGATCGCGCAAAAGGTTCGATTGCGCCTTTGTGTGAATCATAGTTCCAAGTTGAATATATACCTAACATTGAGACATCTAGGCCGAGTCCCCAACGAAAAAGGATCGCGCAAGACTCCCCATCAGCAAGTCATGTCCAAGTTCGACCGACGAAACCAGGCGAAGCAGACTCGTCTTATCAAGCACAAGGAGCACCTGAAGGAGACTTCCATCTTCTCTGGAAAGGACGCTGCCCCGAGAATTGTTGCAGTTATCCCCTTGTGTTCTGATGGCGACGCCAAGGCAGCTATTCAGTCGCTCAACAGCAGCCTCGATATCGAAACCGACCTCAGCAGCAACAACTTTCAGGTGCCGATTGATCGTTTCAAGCAAAAGCTGCAATATGTCGCCCTCGAGCGGGACCTCACTGCCTGCTTGGATGCCGCCAGCGCCGCCGATTTCGTCGTCCTCGTCCTCTCTGCCTCTGTTGAGGTTGACCAACTAGGAGAACTCATTCTTCGAAGCGTCGAGAGCCAGGGCTTGACAACATTGTTCACAATGGTTCAGGGTCTTGACAAGATCGAGCCTGCGAAGCAGAGGCCTGGCATTATGGGCTCGCTCAAGTCTTTCATTACGCATTTCCACCCCGAGCAGGAGAAACTCTACAGTGTCGATAACAGACAGGACTGTGCCAACCTCATGCGATCTCTGTGCAGCACAACCCCCAAGGGCATTAGGTGGAGAGATGAGAGGAGCTGGATGCTGGCTGAAGACATCAAATTTGCCTCAAACGACGCGGAATCTACAGTCATCACCGGAGTGGTTAGAGGTAAAGGCTTGAAGGCAGATCGACTTATTCAGGTTGGCGACTGGGGTACCTATCAAATCGAAAAGATTGTTGCTGCTCCTCTTCCCAAGCACATCAAGAAGAAGGGCGAGGAGGTGACAATGGAGGCTGAGGAAGAAAAAATCCTGGAGGAGCCTTCTGAGGACCGTGATGACTTGAACGACCTTGCTCCCGAAGACGTCATGATGGACGCCGAAGATGATGCCGCCATGTCAGTTGCGCCTTCAGAAAAGAAGGGTGTATTGCTGGACGAGCACCACTACTTCTCGGATGAAGAAGATGAGGCGACAGCTGGTACCAAGAAGGTTCCCAAGGGAACCTCAAAATACCAGTCAGCTTGGTACCTGGATGATGTGTCAGACTCAGGATCTGACATGGAAGATATGGAGATGGATGATGAAAATGATGAAGAGGAGGAAGCGAGACCTGAAGACGGTATGGAGGGTTTCGCCCAGCCCGAGCCTACGGAGGCTGGTCCTTCGGAGTACCCTCAATCTGAGATAATGGAGCCGGATGAGGAAGAAGATGCCGCACAGCTGGAGCAGTTCCGAGCGCGGAAGCGGGACGAAGTGGAGGATGACAAGGAGTTTCCTGATGAGATTGAACTTCACCCCAATGTTTTGGCCAGAGAAAGATTAGCCAGATATCGTGGTTTGAAGAGTCTCCGAACCAGCCCCTGGCAAGAGGACGAGGATCGAGCACATGAGCCGGAGGAATGGCGTCGCCTTCTACAGGTTCCCGACTACAACGCCTCGCGATCAAGGGCTACACGTGAAGCTTTGGTTGGAGGAGTTCAACCTGGCACCCGCGTGCACATCTACATCAAGGGCATGCCTGCTGCTGCGGCCAGCTCCTACAAGCACAGTTCCCCAGTCACCCTTGTTTCCCTGCTGCGGCACGAGAACAAGAAGACTGCTGTCAACTACTTGATCAACCTCAGCTCTGATCAAACTTCTTCCATAAAATCCAAGGAGGAGCTGATTGCTCAGTGTGGTGCTCGACGCATGGTTATCAAGCCCCTCTTTTCACAGTCTGGCTCGACGCCAAACGACGTGCACAAGTACTGCCGATACCTCCACCCCGGTCAGTCGGCTATTGCCACTTTCATGGGACCAATCACCTGGGGTGCTGTTCCAGTCCTATTCTTCAAACGAACAGTTGCTAGCGAGGGCGCCGAGGAAGACGCCTCGGCTGGTGGCATGTCATTGATTGCCACAGGCACAGCCCTACCACCCTCGACAACTCGCGTTGTCGCCAAGCGTGTCATCCTAGCAGGCCACCCGTACCACATCCACAAGAAGATTGTCACCATTCGATACATGTTCTTCAACCGCGAGGACGTGGAGTGGTTCAAGGCGATGCCGCTGTGGACCAAGCGTGGACGCAGTGGTTTCATCAAGGAGCCTCTTGGAACTCACGGTTACTTCAAGGCGACGTTTGACGGACGGATTAACCCTCAAGATTCTGTTGGCATTAGTTTGTATAAGAGAGTTTGGCCGAGACACGCCGTTCCTGCTACTGGGTCATTGTTGGAGGCGGGCGCTATTCAGGAAGTGCAGGGACACGATGAAGATACCATGATGGAGTGATGGATTCCTACCTAAATACATGGCATATTTTAGAGTTTATGAATATTACGACTGGTTTTCTTATCATTAATCATTACTTGTGCAGTCGCTCCTCAGAAGGGATGTTGCTGCGAACTGCTCTAACCTCTACTCCGACGCTCATCTTCTATGCAATCTTATTATACACATGACTCCCTATTATCGACGGCCCATTCTCATACTTGACCAACGTCGCCGCCAGCGAAATCAACGTCCCAAACTGATCCAAACCCTCACACCACCTTATGACATCCTGCGTGATGCTCCCACCGCCCTCTCCCGTCCCGGTCCCGCTGACGAGCTCCTCCGCCGACAGCTGGTGCGACAGCTTGTAGTCGGCCAAGGTGAGGATCTTGTCGACGGCCCTGCCGCGGAGGAACGCGGCGTAGCGCTTGCTCCACTCGTAGGTGGAGGGGACTTCCCAGAGCTCGCGGGTGCAGGGGAGGGGCGCGTTGGCGAAGGATTGGCAGCAGCGGGCTTCGTGTTGGCGGAGGGTGACTTCGAGGAACATTTCGACGACGTAGAGGAGGGATAGTGTTCTGTGTGTGAGGATCAGCTTGGCGTTGATGGGGGTTGAATGAGATGGGATGGGATGGGATAGGAGCACCTTCGTGAGCTTTCATAGAGGACCCAGGTTGAACGGCAGAAAGGGGTTTCGATGGTGTCTAAGACGGTGTTGTATCCGAGTGTTGTATGCATCTTCTGGCCAATTTCCTATGATTGGGTGTTAACGTTTGTGATGATGGGTTTGGTCTGGTATGAAGAATGAGCTCACGCCTATTGTGATGAGGAGGAATTTGACATCGTTCTTTGCTAGAGTCTCTGTGTCCTGTGCTTGAAGTAAGAGGTATACTGTCAATGCTTGAACTGCCTCTAGCAATGTTTCAGAATCGTATGCCTCGTGCTATAAAAAGATGTTAGTCTCTTCTATAACAACCCTTTTGATGTATGTTATTATGGACCGTCAGATAATCACCTCTTTCTGTAGTCTGGCAACTTCATTGTATATCGTCTCCCACACAAAAGGACTGTTGACCGGGGTCTTGTCCAACCACATTCCCACCAGGGAAGCACATATACTCAACGTCCTCCTTAAACAATTGTGTTTCTGAGCCTTTGCGCAATCATGTGTCAAGCTATCATCTAAACTGCACCGGCTATGAATAAACGGAGGAAGAATAGGTCCTTTGACCATCATGGCGGGATACGCGCACACCTGGCCAAGGATCGCCCTCGTGGAAAGCACCGTAGTGGCATTGAGACCGCGGCGCTTGGTAAGAATCCGGGACCTCACGTCATGCATGAGAAAGTCGGATTGCGTGCCGGAGCCGGTGATGGGATTCCGAAGACGAGTATCTTCATCCTGGACAACACCTTCAGGGGCTGCATGGCCCGGCATGGTCATGCTGTTGAGAAAACCAAAGACGTTTTGACAGGGCTCAATCGGAGGCATTGCGGAAGTGTCAAGGCCGGCAGCATCAGGGCCTAGATCAACGTGCAGAAGCGGCCAGTCTGAGCGGCCAGGAACCGTCATTGGCGTGGCGGATGAGAGAGGAGGTGTGGACGAGGACGATGAGACCATGCCGAGCGAATCTAGCAGGACATGAGCGCTGCCCGGAGGAAGTCCGTGGCTGTGATGTCCGTTCCTGGCGGCGAGGACCCGCAAATCCGCCGCTGCGTCACGCAGATCCCCGGGATGCGTGTTGGCATTAGTAGCAGAAGAAGCAGGAGTTAATACGGAATAGGGGGCCATGCGTGCATAGTCGCACGCGAGGCTCTTGTCTATACATCGCGTGCAGCGCGGGAGGGTCAGGCTGCAGCGGGCTTTTGCTTTCCGGCACTGGACACACGTCTTTTTCCTGGATATGGGCATGTCTGTCTCCTGACCAGATTCGAAATGTCCGTACTCCGTATCTTAGTTGAAAAATGGTATACACGGCAAAGAAAGAGGAAATCCGGTGATGGACGCTCTGAAGGATCTTGGTATTAGTCAAGACGCGGGCGATTGCGCCTCCGAAGCTGGTTCTGGCCATCGGAGTTTGGGTGGAGCGGGCCGGAGTTCGAGTGGAGACGGCAAGGGGTCTCGATGGAAGAGCAAATGAAGATGAAGCGCTGACTTGATCTGGTGGCGCCAGATTAAGATCTGATGGAGGGTGTGAGTCGAGTAGATTATTCATCCGAAGAGACAAATTTACTATTGCCGTTTGTTTCGTGACAACGGAGTTCCGAACGGTGTTATTGATAATGTGATGTGAGCGCCGGAGGAGGATGCGAGACGGACCGGACACGGGGCTCGTTTCTGGCGTTACGGAGGATGAGGAGAACGGAGGGGCCAAGTGCGTCTGCGATGGATACAGAGATGGAGAGGGAGAGGGAAAAAAGACGTCGGGTTGATCAAGTACAAATAGTGCCGCCTGCCCTCGAGTGATGTAAAGGAGTTGAATAGGATGAATATCACTTCCATCATTGCCATCATCATCATCATCATTGTCAGCTTCATTTAATAACATCTTTCATAAAATTCCATCGCTAAAAATGGCCCCTCTTAAAGTTGGCATCATCGGCCTCGGCGCCACTGGTCCTGCCCTTGGTCCCGGAGCTTGGGCTGTGGCCGCTCATCTGGCTTCTTTCGTCCCTTCTCCTCACTATGAGATTGTTGCTGTCTGCAACTCGTCTGTCGAGTCTGCTCAAAGATCCATCGACTTCCACAAGCTGCCCTCCGCCGTAAAGGCATACGGCAACCCCGAAGATATTGCCAACGACCCAAACGTCGACCTGGTAGTTGTCTCCATCATCGTAACCAACCACCACAAGGTGGCCAAGCCTGCCGTCCTAGCCAAGAAGCAAATCTTTGTCGAGTGGCCCCTTGGAGCTAACACGGCTGAAGCCGAGGAGCTGACCAAGCTGGCCAAGGAGGCAAACCTCAAGACGATTGTTGGCTCGCAGTTCCGCCTCGACCCTGCGCTGATCAAGTTCAAGGAGCTCATCGACAGCGGAGCTATTGGCAAGGTGACGAGCACACAGGCTCAGTACTCACCCTTTTCTGGACCTCCCGGCACTTGGATGGCGGATGCCGCTTACTATTTGGACTTTAAGAGCGGTGGTAACGAGTTTCATATTGCGTTTGGCCATTGTAAGTCATTCATGCAGTTCTTCAGGTGTTTTTAGCTTGATGTACAAGTAAAGACGCTAACAATACAACAGTCTTTGACAGCTTCCTCTACGTGCTGGGCGACTTTGCTACTGTCAAGGCGACATTCTCCCAGCAGTATCCCATCATGAAACTCGTCAACACAAAGACTGGCGAGATTGTTGACCCAGCCTTCCCCAAGACTGCCCCAGACCACATGTTCGTCCAGGGTGTCCTCTACAGCGGCGCCATCGCCAGCGTCAACTACAACCGCCCAGGCGAGCTCGTTGGCAAGACCCTGCGATGGACCATCTCTGGCACGGAGGGCGAAATTGAGCTCACCCTCAACGGCGCGCTGCAGATGGGCCACTCGGAGCGGGAAATTCGTATCAAGACGGGTGAGGACAAGGAGCCGAGGGTTGTTGATTGGCAAGTGAGCACGCCGGCGCATGTTGAGGGTGTGCAGTTTCCGGGACAGAATACGGCTCGTTTGTTTGAGGCTTATGCTCACGGCGATAAGAGTGTTCCCGATTTTGAGGATGGCTTGAGACTGCATAGGCTGTTGGACCGAATTGCAAAGGATGCGGGTTATGCCTGAAGCTTCATATTTTACGGAGAGGAAAAAGACTTGAGGGGATATGCAACGTTATAGCTAATTATATTATTCTTTCTGTATCAGTCTGATGTTTTCAATTCAAGTTGAACTGCGTGAATGTAACAATATTACGACATTTTCCTGCAATGTCGGTGCTTCTCCCCTAGATCCCCTATCTGCAGGATGCTTCTTGTTGAAGTTATGCGCAGATATTTAGATCTTCTGATGGAATGTTTGTATGTATACATCATATCCTATCACGAATTTGGGTATAGATAGCGATAATACCTGCAGTACCTGGGTAGCCAATAATTGGCGATTGTGGCTACAGTAGAGTAGAGTGACGATACTATAGGAATATAGAGTTAGTAGAAGACAGTAGCGATTATAGATGAAAGTGAAGATAGTAGATCAAGGTAGCGATAGTAGCAGAGAGTAAGTAGGCGAAAGTAGCAATAGTAGTACCCAGAGTTCTGAATAAATGTATAGATGGCCATACGGCCATTGCCTGTTTTAATTCAGATTCGCCATCGGAGCCTTGATAATGCAGAGCAGCTGAATGGCCTAAAAGCTTTGAAATGTGTGATTGGTACGTATTCCATGTCAGAGTGAGGGGTTGGGCATTACATCCATTACCGGCTTGCATCCAAGGCTGCGTACCCAACAAGTTCAAATGCCAGAATTTGCGCACTTCGCATTCCACAGTCATTCCAACAATGGATTCGATGGACTCAAGCTTTCGCAATATTACAAGCAATAGCTTTGGAGATAATATCACCATTAATCAGAATAATATACAAAATCCGGCGGCAGACCAAACTGACCAGTGCCTGAAGGATCTGAGGCTGACCGACCCCCGCGACGACAAAACACGTATCCAACAGACAAAAGGGGGACTTCTAAAAGAGTCCTCCAGTTGGATTTTCGAGAACGAGACTTTCAAACAGTGGCGCGATGATGAACAGAATTCACTATTTTGGATCAAAGGAGATCCGGGAAAGGGCAAGACAATGCTGTTATGCGCAATTATCGATGAACTGGCGCCAGGAACGAAGTTGGCGAAGCCAATGGATAGGACAACTGAGACATTTCTGTCTTACTTCTTCTGCCAGGGCACCGATTCGCGCATCAATAACGCAACTGCTGTTTTGCGTAGCCTTATTTACCTCATCATTATCCAAGAGCGCTCGCTAATCTCGCATGTTCAGGAGAGGTATAACCATGCAGGAAAAGGCCTCTTCATCGATGCAAATGCCAGGGTAGCTTTGTCCGACATGCTTCTAAACATTCTACGCGACCCAAAAGTTGGGGATATTGTGTTTGTTGTCGACGCACTAGACGAATGCGAGACTGACTCAGATGAGCTTTTGGATTTTATTACCAAATACGCATCATTGCCTCGAGTCAAATGGATTATATCCAGTCGAAATAACCTTAATATCCAACAAAAACTCGAGCCTTTCATACGAAGTGGAATACTTACTCTCGAGTTAAAAGCAAACGCGGAAACGGTATCTAATGCAGTGGATATATATATTGGGCATAGAATTTCACGACTACGTTCAGTACATCATAACCAAGGTCAACGAGACGAACTTAGAGACGCTCTGAGGGAAAAAGCTAACGGAACATTCTTATGGGTATCTCTCGTGATGAAAGAGCTTGAAGATGTTCAAAGCTGGGAGGTAACAGAAGTAGTGAAGGAGATGCCAATGGACTTGTCAGCAGTCTACAGACGAATGATCAGCCAGATTCGACATCAACGGCGAGGAAACGCAAAATTCTGCTGGAAGATACTTTCGACAATTTTTACGGCATATTATCCTCTCAACCTAGGCGAACTAGGAATTCTCGCTGGATTACCAAATGAGATTTCAGAACACTTCGAACGTATTAAACAGCTTGTTACTATGTGTGGCTCATTTCTCACAATTCGCGAAGGTACCATATATTTTATACATCAGTCAGCAAAAGACTTTTTATCAACAGAAGCGTTCCAGTCCGATGCTGCTCAAAGACATGCAGACATCTTCGAGCAGTCAATCACGGCCATCTCGACATTACCACAAAATGTCTACGGCCTCCCAGATTTTGGATTTAGATCAGAACATACATGGGCACCTGAACCGAGCCCATTGGCACCAATGAGATACTCTTGCTTCTGCTGGATTGGCCATTTTTGCGATGCATATGGTGCAAACCCCAAACCTGGAACTGGACTAGCACTCCAGGAGAAGTTATGGTCGTTCTTGAAAGATAACGTACTCCGCTGGTTAGAGAGTATGATTCTGCTCGGTGGCCTTGCAAATGCTTTACGTTCTCTGCAAAAGATGGCGCGAGAGGTATGCATCCGAAGAGCTGTACGCTGGTATAGACGCTGAATCTTACGTGCACCTATTAGCTACAGTTTGACGCAGATTCTCAGCTGTCGGAATTCCTACACAGCACAGAGAAATTTATAATCAATAACGGTCCGCTTATTACTCGCGCCCCCTTGCAGGTATATGGCTCGGCACTGGTGTTCAGTCAGGCATCAAGTGCCATGAATCAACATCAATGGAAGGAACGTCTGCCACTTATTGAACAGGTAAAGGGAGTAATTCAAACCAACAATGCTCTCCTACAAACGCTCGAGGGTCATGCCTCCACGGTTAGGGCCGTCTGTTTTTCTATGGATGGCAAGGCGATCGCGTCAGGCAGCGATAGCGGAACTGTACTAGTATGGGATGCGGCAACAGGTGCGATCCTACATACGTTTGCAGCTGGTTACCGTAATATACTGGCGATTTCATTCGCTCCTGACGGCGAATCAGTCGTGTTTCTATCCCATGGATACAGCGTCTTTGAGAATTTTCTGAGTTTGGTTACTTTGTCACTAGACACCAAAACCCCGTCGCCACAGCTTGACAATAGTGGCATAAGATCAAATAGAGCGATAGCGTGGGACGGTTCACGAAGGTTTAATCACTCACCACGCGCCACGTTCTCGCTAGATGGGCAGATGCTGGCAATAATAGGAGGATCAGATCGCCCAATAGAGTTGTGGAATGTTGCAACATGTTTGTGTTTAAGGGCATTCCAAAAAGATAAGACAGGTGCGCCGATTTGGAGTTTGGCGTTCTCACCAGATTCCAAGACAATAGCATCAGGGCACGAAATTGCAACAGTGAGCTTATGGGATGTAGAAACTGGTGTCTGTTTTCGAAAGTTGGCGGCGTATCCGGATGAGAATTTAACGATAACTGCCATCGCGTTCCAACTGGATAGCAAAAAGCTGGTTTTCAGAAGTTGGGCGCCTTCCGAAAATATACAAGTGCTAGATATAGCAACAGGCAGATCACAAGAGACTCATATAAGTCATGACTGTCAGATATGCGCGATTGCATTCTCGCCAGACGGTAGGACGGTGGCAGTCGGATCAGAAGATGGTACAATACAACTATGGGACGTGGATTTCGGCATGCAGCCGTGGACGACCGGAGATACGGCAAGACCAAAAGCGGAACCAACCAGATCTAAAATCATTGAGCAGATGGAATTTTCGCCAGATGGCAAGATACTAGCATTATCTACTATTTTTCCCAGCCGGGAAGTAGAGCTATGGAATACGTCAAATGGGACTCGCTAGAATATTATTGACGTCCCCCCATGGGCTTTTACCTTGCCACACGCAGACTGTGCGTATCAGGATGGCGTAATTACGTTTTCACCAGATGGCGGGACGCTTGCGTTAGGATGCTGTGGAATATGCCTATGGGATGTGGCAACGGCTCGAGAAATCCGCCACCCGACTCTTTCGGGAACCCATTGCACAGCGATCGCGTTCTCGCCCAATGGAGAGGAATTAGCATCGAGCCTTGGTGGTTTTGAAATACAGCTACAGAATTTGGCAACAGGAGAGACTCATAGGAGATTCACCAGGGGGACGGAGATGGTTAATGCCATCACTTTCTTCCCGGAAGGTAAAACGTTGGCAGCAGTGTACGATTGTGGGCTCATTCTATTGTGGGATACAGCTACAGGCACGTGTTTACAAGAACTCCGCACCGACCTTCCGTGGAGTGTTGAATACACTTCTATCAAGTATTTACCCGATGGGCCATTTCTTTGCTTGAACCAACAATACATCATAAAGCTTTCCCAGGAAAATGAAGAACCCCCAGAACACGATGCATTACGCATTGATGAAGAGTGGATAACCAAAAGTGGAAAATCTCTTCTGTGGCTTCCTAGAGAATACAGGTACAATTCCGTGGCCATACAAGGCAATATCGTCGCAATTGCACACGAATCGGGTATAACATTCATACGGTTTCATTCCCCAGCGCCAAAGGGACTATAAATTTATAAAGCAATGCTTGAATCTACGTACAAGCTCCTACAACGGCAAACATGTGAGCACTAGGTATATTTAGAGATAAAAGGGGAATCACTAATAAAGAGTGAAACAATCGAGAATTGCACACAATCTGCGAGATAATCGTGAACGCTATGGTGATCTAACAGAAACTTTTACTTTAGTCCCTAGGCTCTGCCAGACTTCGTTGCCTGATGGCGTATCCCGAAGTGTTTTGTGGTGACCGACGTTATGAGGAAGTGACGCACATCCTTTTAGCTATGTATATTGGCGATGCTGGTTGTCCACCTAGTGTAGCCTCATTTGCGTGAGAAAAGATGCATGATTAATAGGACTGCACTTGATTCCAAGCTCATAGGCCTGGCGATGGGCCATATTGACTGTAGTAGATTGTCATGTTTGTCACCATCGTTCAAAACTTCGATTATCGATGGTTGAAAACAGCGTACAGTCAAGAGTCGGATCGGGATAGGGTGCAAAGAAAGCGCCTATTTTCCCGGTATAAGTGGCTACCTAGATAGGTAGGTAAGAGATATACAGTGCCTTGAATACAGCCCGAGTATCTGCTAATGTCACTACATGTGCTTTCCTCCTACTATAGCTAATTCCTCAAAGATCTTCTATTATAGTTACGCTGTTTCAAATTACGACATGGGATACTGAATAGGTAGCCACCCCCTAGAAAACCTAAAATTCTTTTCCAATGATCAAATGTCCCGTCGGTTTTGGAATGTTGAGCATTTATCCAGAAAGCCTGTAGCTCTGCAAAGAAGATTACTCGGAAGTATGAGGCTGAGGCTGAACTATAGTGACATCCCGTACTAATGGTGCAGGCCTATGGCTTGTGATTTTGACTCACGTCGATGGGTCTGCTGTCACTCCTTATACAACCATTTCTTCATCAAACAAGATATTTCACAGTAGATTCCCCGAAAGTTCATATGGAACTGAGATGGTCATACGATAGAATTTTTTATTGCTACTAAGGTCAATACTGCGTTGTAACAAACGCTATCCATCATAGTCTGGTTTGTTCTATCAACGACTTATCCTTCAAGACTGGCCCTGAGCCTTCACTCCGGCGTCTCCAAGAGGGACAATGAGACTGTAACTCTGGCCACTGTTTTGCTCTTGCACACCCGTTGACAGTAGCAGAGGTGTCATTTGTCCATCATTCGAGAAATACAGCTCAGGTCTCTCTCTGCGGTTAAATTGAGTAACCAATCCATCATCGTACTGGACATACGTGCTGAACGCAAGTGTTCGGTTGCCGAATGTCCATGGTCCTGTGTAGTTCCTCGCATAAGCATGACGACCAACCTGAGGTCCCCAGCCAAATCCACCATCAGGCTCGAGGGAGTGCAAAAGCATGTGGAAGTTGCCTCGCTTGTCGCGCCATACAAACGGATCCTCGTTGGCATCGTCAAAGATTGGCTGTGACTCAATCTTTTTGTATGGGCCCTCATAACCAGACTCTGAGAAGGCCACGTTGATCAACTCGGAACCACCGCAATTGATTGGGCAACCACGGTAGACCAACAGCATAGCAGCCGTGTGACCAGGGCAATGTCCGCCATCTGTGGTCGATTCTGCGCGCCCGCAAGAGCTGGAGTACAAGGGGAATGCCGTGGGATTTGTCAAGTCGGCATCCCAGTCACTCGTGTTGTCGCCCTGCATGACTTGTCCCTTGAAAGTCCACTTGCGGAGATCACTGCTGCTCAAGACAGAAACTCCACTCTCTCCATTGACGTCGTTGCCCGGTCCGCAGGTGAAGCTCATCGATTGGCATGTGTCTGTGACGTTCGTAGGGCATCCAATATAGTACAGAAGCCATTCTTTATCAGCGGGGCTGTAGACGACAGTTGGGTTGTGGGCAAAGGTTCCCACAACTTCAGCGGCAAATTTGTAAGGACCAGCGGGACCTGTGCGAGATTCAGCCCGAATGATGCGGCTATAGGGAGCCCAATAGTCAAGGCCACATCCGTGAGTGAACTCAGAGGCGAAGAGATGATACAGATCATTCTCCTTCGGGTCCTGAATAATCTTGGAGCACCATGAGGAAGTTCCTTCTGGAGTCAGATTATAGCCACCGTTCCGCTTAGCTGGACGGATGTCGAGCACGCCACAGTCGGTGCCAGTCCACGCGGGATCACACTGACAGACGCCACCTTTGGCACAAACGCCGTTAAGACTGCAGTCTTCATCGGTTGAGCATGTCTGGTGGGACAAGCCAACGAATAGGCCGACTAGAAGATACAAAAGCCGGGCCATTTTGGACGAAACCCCGCGGGAAAAGCGAGACAAGCGAGATAGCCGACGAACAGAAACAGTCTCGTTTGTACAAAAGACGGTGAGAAAAAGACCAAAGTTGGGAATCTTAGGCCTTCATACTATCCAAAGTATTGCCTGGTGACTTTGACAGCATAGCAGAAGCCAGGTCTTGAGGAGTCAACGGCTAATGCCTGACTTTTATATGCCATCCTCCGGCACTATAGCTACATGAGCTTCATATCTAAAGGATCGCAACGGAGATGGAAATCTGGGGATGCGGGGTGACGCCGACGGGTAAATGCTTAATAGTTATAGGCGACGGGAAGAGCATTACATCAAAGATAGGTGAAAACCGAGATATCGGAATATGAGGCCGTGTTGAGATCGTCAGGGCTCCATCTCGTCGAGAGGAATCCGACGGGTATATTGCTCACTACGTAGGTGAAGAGGGGTTCTTATAAGTGCCATTACATACTTGGAGATCATCGTATTTATTTCTCTATTAAGCCGACTTCGATACCGACCATATCTCCGCATTTCAGCGATTTCCCGCGGCTAGCAAAGGCTTCGGCAATTGAGACTCTTCTTGTCCAGCTTCCTTTTCTAGAACTAGCACGACGAGATAGCGTAACATAGGCGTATAAAGCTACAAGTTAGAGCTCGTATAACTTCCGCGGGGACGCTATAGACGCGATATAGGGAAATGATATGATAAGCAGCTGACGATAGCAGACTGTTCTCGGCCACTCGAAGTATTGGCGGAATAATGTCGCCTCGTGGAGTCCATTCTGAATGATAAGTCTTGAAAGTTGCTTTCAATTTGTCTTTGAAGAAAGAAAAGCTATGAATCTACAGGTAATCGAAGCATTATAAGGCGAAAGATGCCCTCAATGTGTAAGCGACGTCTACGGAGTAAGCATCAATACGAACTCGTAGTGTCACCAATCGGATTCTACCCAAACTGCCGAATATCAACTAGGCTGAATAAGGATACACATGCGTTCTGGGCCCATTCCCTTTGCGTATCTCGTAGAAATGAGTGATGGTATTTCCCGTAAAATTGGCACTATTGTACTACCATCGCCACTCCTGCTACCAAAGGCTTCGCCAACTCGCATTGCAAGTAGTGACATGTGGGAGCCACGGCGTATTCCATCCACCTATCAACAACTACTTCAACAATAAATCCCCTTAATGAGCTTATTCCATCTCTATAAAATACACCGTCGCAGGTGACATCTTCACAGCTCCTCATTCGAAAGTATGTTTTCTTAAAACATATGAGTTACTCGGCCTTCTCGCATTCTAGAACCTCAGCATGAACCCAGATGTTGTACCAGCCCCATTTTTCCCAAGTATCGCATCCATTGCACCCAAAATCGCCTTCAAACCCATGCCCTAAACAAAAATGTGTGGGGTTGATGCCGCCGAATAGATCGTTGATTCTATCTACGAACTCGAGTGCTGAACGACTCCAAGTGTCGGAATAATCACCCCAGTTCGGGCTGGCTTCGACAAATCTTCGATCAATACTGCTGAAAACTTTTCGTTTGTTTGACAAGGCATGACTGTCTTCGGTCCTGGTTCGCTTCAAATTGTAATCGATAAGATATAGCGTTTGGTTACGTGAATAACTTTCGACCATCCAGACTATGATGCGTACGAAAAGACCTCGAGGACTCATCTCTTCAAATAGAACATTCGGGTTCCTAATCTCGTCAAGACCATCGTACCAACTAGAATCGTATTCGAGCGCTAAGTTAGGAAAGCCGCGCATCCCGATCGCATAATCGACCATGCAGAAGTCTTCTATAAAGTACGGATTCTCCCTATAATAGCCGACAGTGCCTGCGTTAATGGGCTGTAGGCAGACGAGGTCTTGGTTTGGATGAATAGCGAAGCACCAGCTCCCGCTACTGTGTGGATAAATGAATGGCACACAAGCGTCAACAGGTTGGTTGTCATCCATTGAGCTTCGGCCTTGACGAAACTTTGCTGTCCAGTGGTTCATTTTATAATGCTTCTCGATAACTTCCCTAGACTCATGGCATGCATTCCACATGCCATAGTCCAAGAGATACGCAGACGGGTTATTGTTGGTCCACGAATGGCTGTCGCCAAATTTTGGTGCAGCAAGGCAATATGTAGTACCGTGATTAATTTCGCAATCAGAGCCCAGATGACATTGCACTCTGAGTTTTTTCAACGTGTCACCATCTTCTTTATAGTTGGTCACCGAGAAGAAATGAGCCCTAGGGCGAGACGGGCTGATTGGTTGTAAGGCGTGTTTCCAAATTTTGAGCCTTAGCTCAGTTGGTAGATTGGCAAATTGATGAAATTCGGATGGCATTTTGCATGTATTGTCAAGGTTTTCCCCTACAGGCGCCATGGTGTATGGCAACTCAGGTGGATTATGGACTGTATGTGTGCCTTTGTCGAGGAACGCTGCGGTGACTGTGTTGTTGCTTAATAATGGTGAGGGAGGGAGAATTTTGTTAGAGAGAGAGATGAAATGGAAAAGAAATTGTTGTAGGAAGGCCGGGGGGCTCCGTGTCGCTTATATAGGTGTCCTGGTGGACAGTAGATGTAAATAAACAAACATCTACTGGGCAATTAAATTTCTCAACATGTCAACACCCAGGAAGAAATGGTGGAATCTTGTTACTCAAGGCTTGCAGAGGCTTCTATTTGGACGCCTCCGAAGTACCTGTGAGTCATTTGGTGCACGAAGTTAGGTATAGCCACAAAGGCTTATAGTAAAAAGGTTATAATAATTGTAGATATCTGTGGATAACTGCCAATGATATGAAACTTCATCACGCCTCCCCAAGAACTTCAGTCAGTAAGGTTTACGGTAAATAGGTATCCCTTATTTACATAGAAGGCCAAAGCCTTTATCATTGATAAACTTCGATGACTCACAAACGCAACAAATATAGTAGTATGCCATAGGTGTGATAGCTGACATTGACAGAAGATATAGGTGGCTATCAACACTGATGTAATGTTCACGATCAGCTTTGATACGTGGGCCACAAAATCAATCTTTTCTGATCTTTTTATATACTCCATTGATGCTAATATTTACCGAAGCAACCAAATCACACTCTACGGTCTAAGCGCCGGGCACAACAGACCAGGTTTCGGCTGTAAACAAAAGCTCTTCTTTGGCCTCCAGCTCCGCTGGGTCTACATAGAGACGCAGCCCGATGTTGCCGTTCCCGACATTGAAGACTCTCATGATAATGTATACGGAATCTTCTTTTCCACGGTTATCGTGTAACTGAAATCGTTTGTTAGCAGTGAACCAAAAATACATCAATCAGGGAGTCCGTACCATTTTGTACTGGTTCTTGCTTACGAAGAAGCGAGTCTCGCAAGAAGAAACTGTCGTTTTTACCTCAAAGTGGTATGTTGGCCTCCTATGCTCCCATGTACTGGCATCAAAGTAACAATTGTCTATGAGTAACTTTGTGAAAGTTCCCATTTTGTCATGATAGACAAGATCTGACGTCTCGCGGCCATGCCAAGGTTGCATTGTTGCATATTCCGGATGCTTCTTCGCGTACCACCGAATCTTGCTCTTCCAGTTATCCATGCCAAAGTCTGGTAGTGAAGGACTGCACGCTTTTAGAAGTTCAAATATCTAAGTTTTTAGTCAGTATGAAGGCAACTCGAACCCATTCTCTTTTGTCACTTGAAAACTCACATATAGCTCTCCTGCAGCTCCGATCATCTTGTCTCTCTCCAATTGGGAAAGGCTACCGGCAGAGTTGAATCCATAACTATCAATTCCAAAATTATTGGAATTGGAGGTCGGCAATGAGGGCAAAGATTCTCTCAGAGCATCCATGCCAAAACTACCCTTCATGGGAATCGATGCTCTTCGTGCTGAAGAGACAACATGGCTCAGTAACCCAGCATACCCAAGGTTAATTGAAGCGACTTCTCTTTGCAAAGAGGTAGATACTTCGATTCTCTCCCCAGATGCATGCGGTGAAGTTTGCTGTACAAAAAGTCCAGTGATATTCTGAGAAGAAGTAACACGGCTGCTAGCAACAATTGTATCTTGATGCACAACAGTAGCCAGTATCTCACCATGATCGAAATCCATCCTTGGAGAGGACATATCGGTCAAGGGTGTCGCCATATTTGATCCAATTTCTGTTGAATCACTTAGCTCAAAGGCTTCCCTTCTTGTCGAACTAGTCGAGACCGAGTCTTCTTCATCATAAATCTCTTCATCCTCTATGTCGATATCGACTATCCCTTCCTCGAGGAGAATTTGGTTATAGATGTCAGAGTCCTCTTTCAGGATATCCTTCACCAGTGAATGGTTTCGGTCATTGGCAGAGCTAGGGTTCTTCGTAGAGCCACTCGTTGTCATCCATTCAAACAGCCGTGATGGTAAATCTCGAGCAAGGCAAAGTGCTCTAGACTTCTTCTCTTGAGGAACGAAGATGTCGAGACCTGCACCACTCTCTTCTAAATGAAACTTACTGCGGCTTATCTCATGATAATATGATCGGTCACCTTGCTGCACGACCTGTACACACGATATTTTGTCCGTCTCAAAGACTTTCGCCTGCTTTAAGAGGTAATATAGATTGTGAATTTCCTCAGCTGTCCGCCACCGTGGGCTGTTGAAATGTTTGGCAATCCTAAATAGAAAAGTTATTAACCGCAGATATCTAAAAAAGGGAAGGGTATATAACCTACCGACATAAAGCACGCGCTCTCGATTCAATATTTTGACTCAAAGAGTGATTCAGAACACGGTCATCGTCCTCCACCTTTGAGGTTTCTGTAACTAGACGTGAGAGATATCTTTTTTCAAGTCCCAACCATCTTATGACAGGACCTAACGAATGTAGTTCGTCAAAGGTGAAACCTAAGGTTTTAATTTGGTTTCGAAAGTTATCTTCCAGGAGGCGCCTGTCCGCTATCGCGAACTCTGCATTCCCATCACAGAATTGGATGTTTTGCTGGGCACCCGGTTGTCCAGGTTGTCTTATCGGGAAAATCTTGAACTTCTTCATTTCATCTGGTTTGATGTTCTTATAATTGCTGATCATGTGAAAGTGGTCTTTAAAAGCGAAGAATTGCTCTTTCACTAATTCCACTGTTGGCTTGGATTCTCCCAATTTGGAGAGCTCAGTGTATATCAGTCCGAGAGTGAGCGTCTCCACACGCAAGAATTCAACGAAAAACGACTTCATGTCTTTGTAGTCGCTCTCTAAGACCTTCTTACTGCGAACAGTCGTTGCACTGGACCAGAGGCATTGAGAGACTTTGTTCCAGCAATTATCAAATTTTGTATAAATCAAAGCTTCCTCAACGAATTTGCTCCTATAAGAAATTATTAGCCCTGTTGCGCATTACAAAGACCACTCTCGCTTCAACTTACTTCACGAGTTCCCTGACTTCATTTGACTTGTTTTTGCTTAACAAGCCCCATAGGGACTTGTAAAGGCTCTTAATTCTGTCAAAATCAGTGGAACCTGACTCTCTGAGGTTGTTGAGCTGATCGCATATAGTTTTCTCGTCGCAGTTGTCTACACCGAGTACGTCGGTGAAAAGGAGTCTGATAATCGAAAGGTTATTAATAGCCAGGGCTTTATATCTAACCTCCAGCGGCTCTTTCATAGTCAACGATTCCGGGCCCTCCCATACGCAGTGTTTTTGGTCTACCGAACGGAAATTTCCATGCTGGGTCTTTGGAATATAAACCAAGTCATACACGTAAAACCGATCTCTGTTTGTGGATATAAGGTAAGCATATGAAATCAAGAGCAAGAGCGGAGTTATTAACATACATGATCAAGTTTTTCTTCTCGTCGTTAGGAGATTCCAGGTACTTGCCGTAGATAACGCCATATAGTTCAAAGATACGAGAGAACTCGTCAATGTCATCCCCTCGCTGCCCTTCCATGATGTATCTTAGAACGTCCAAATAGAAGTAAAGGTCTTCTTCAGCTTTGACGCCGAGAGATGAAACCAGAAACCCCCAATTTTTGGTGTATGTTTCGTGTGTAACTTCGTAATCGAGCTGCAGAAACGGAAAATGTTCTAACCCTCTTGAAAATCTTTCCCACTGGTGTTTTAAGTTCGGGAGCGGAAGATGAGTGTCCTCAAGAGGAACTAGTTCGCCATCGTGAAAAGGAACTTCTATGGCTCTCAATTGGCGGATCAACGTAGCCGAAGATTCTATTTCCTTGCTCTCTTGACCCCAATTATAGCCCAAATATCCGAGAAATTTATCTGGGAGATGGGATTCCACATAAAGACATTCTTTTGAAAGCTTGCCTCTATCCTCTTTGGATATGATTCGCAGATGACGTCGTACCCCAACATAGCTGCATAGCCAATTCTTCCATGAACTGAGCTGCTTAGCTTCATCACTTCCCTGGAAAAAGTGATTCAGGTAGAGAGGGTGAAGGAAGTGAACTGACAAACCATCAGTATCTTCAACATTTTCAAGTAGTTTAGAAGGAGCAAATGGTTTATCGTCGGGCATATATACATCCGTCGAAAAAGGACTGAGAAAATTGAATTTGGTGTCATAGAGCCAGATATTGCTGGTATTTTCTGAGTGATGTTTATGCTTGTCCGTTAAGAACATGTATCTGAGTTGCGCAACACATTGTACTATGTGCGTATTGATGAACTTTCTTTTCAATATCCGGTGACGCAAGAAAGAGATCTCGGCCTCTTTAGCGCCCAAAAGGCTGAAAAGTTGCCGACGGTGAGCATTTTGCGTAGCTTTAGAATCAATTATGTTTAAATCGAGACCTGGTGGAACTTTAAGTCCATCTGCTTCTGGTAAAAATATCTCTTGACCAAAAGCTGCAATCCATTGTCCGCCTTGAAGTGGCATCAATTGCAAACAGCGCAACTGGAGATGGAGGATGGTGTTGGACGATAGAAGAATGCTCTTTAGGTAGTTTGCTGATCTTGAATGCCAATCATCATCCCTATCTTTGGACCTCATTCTCGGGTCGCTTGTGTTGAGATCGAGCGCAATGGCATCCAGGATTTCAGATGCGGTGTATTCTTTTAGGCCATAACTTCGTAGAATCATGATATCGTCCTTCGAATAACGCTTCGAGATGTGCATTTCCGGGTTGTTGTCTCTAAACAAGGGTTCTCCACGGCTGTCAAGCTGAGATTCCACGGAGTAGCGTAGAGAAGATATTAAACGGAAATTGTCTTCGCTTCTCGGTCTTAAAATCGGAGTCTTGTTCAGTCTCTCTTGCAGTAAAGCAACCAATTGAGACCAAAAGGGATCAAAGTGCTGCTTTTTTTCTGGCAAATATCTCATCCAAGTATACTGGAGCTTGGGATGATCGCAAAACTCAAGGGCAGCCTGGATGAATGCATCTGCTATCCCTCGTCGGATACCTATATTTCTGCCAGATGTCATGACAATGTCCTGTCGATTGGCTTGGGTCACAAAATCGCTATTAATCAAAAACTGAAATAGATGATCAGTATGCATGTATAAATATGGCAGGCATAATAGCTTACCGTAAAACCCGCTTGTTTCATAGGTAAGAATGTGAAAATCTCCTGGTACTCCACAACGGGTACTGATTCCTCAGTCAGTGGGAAACCCAGGACTATTTCTGCCGAAGCATATGTCTTGTTTTCTTCGTCGTATTCGGAGTACGTCCGGATCTCGTTTTTTTCCAGGCCGCCAACAGTATGCTTGAAAATGTAATAGTCTCTAGACGAACTCTCCACTCTGCTGGCCGTTTTCGACACCTGAGTAAGCCTGATGAGATTTCCATTGATGTGCTTTCTCGAAAAAGTGTTCGATTTCTCCAGCTCCCCCCCGTTATCAAAGATGGAGATCCGAATTTCTTCAATATTTCGCATGAAAAGAAGAATGCTTTCTTTCAGACTGTTAAACTGGTCCAAAATAATCTGGTATTGGGATGGTAAAATCGGACTGTAGCCGTCGCCAAGTTCCAGCACCATTCGGGTCCCTAGGTATGGCTCGTCGTTGTCTGGATCTTCCCACACTGGTGTAATCATACCCAGTCCTTGGTCTCCCTTTTTATGCTTAAAGAAGAAGCTAAAGTAGCCAGATTCAATATGAACTTTCCATGCTGCCATGAAGACAGACTTGAAACCAATGCCTTTCTCGCCAACGTATCCTTTCTGGGCTCCCGACTTTGAACTTTTGCCAACTGCACAGATGGCTTTGAGGTTCTCGGGTTGGAAACCATCCTCATTGCACTCAATGATTATTTGGTGAGGATACACTTCGAAGGAGACATAACGGGCCAAGTTGGAGTTCCGTGCTTTGGTGAATGAGTTGTCTTCAGCATTCTGCAGAAGCTCAAAAACAAATCTTGCATCGCTCGTATATAGGTTTTTGGCTAAACTAAAGGAAGAGTAAGTTACTGCGTCATAGCGATATTTATGTAGTTAACTCAAATAGTGACGAACGTAGAAATAGCGGTTCCAGCGATGTTCTCTAGTTTTCTCATCTTCCTCTGTAATGTCTCGCGATGTTCAGGGTTTAACGCCTTCCAGATACTCTCGGGAACGTAGCCATGATCATCAGCGATAGTCTCCACAAGGTCCCGAGCGACCTTTTGGCTCATTTCTGGGGCAGACATTATTGGGACCAGATTAAGAGAGACTGGCCAAAGAGTATCTGAAACTACAAGGTATAAGATGCTGAGTACAAGATATTGGTAGAGAACGGCGAAAAGACAACAATAAAAAAAACAGTATGCGCACACTTGGGAGGAAGTTGGTAACAGAAATAGGTGAGGAATTTTGGGGTCGTGAACATCAGCGCCGTACCTAGGTATGTTAAATACAGCAGTTCGGACGCAACTGTTGCACGTAGAAAGACTAGAGTACCTCTTTTTAGAAACTGCAGAACCAACATGCATAAAATGGCCTGACCGGAAATTGGCACTAAGCCGTGTCGGAATATCTATCAACCAAAATGTCAAAATCACGGCGCGTAAAAAGAACATTAGCCGCCAGCGGTACCCTTGGATCATCGTTATGAAACGCAATAGATCTGCAGGACCGCGGGTAGTACATCTCAATCAGTCATCGTTTGTACGGTCGAACGGAACATCTCCGTTGGAGAGCTGAGATTCCACTTTGGTGGTTACGATGTTTACTTGCATGACCCGTTGCACTGTATTCATACCATTTTGTATGCGCGCGCCCTTTTCAGCCTTACAGTGCTGAAAAGTTCGCCATGCTGAGCCCGTGTTGACTACTAATGTACTCGTCGTTTATAACTACGTTACCAACGAGGCTCGTTGTAACTTGTTGCGGGCATGTTATTAGCCGTGCCACAATATCATCAATTGAAGTCGTTGTGCATCAATGGTGTAATTCTGTCTCGCTTCCTCAAGTCCCTCGAGCCTGTGCAGTACCTAGGTAGGCAGCCTTACACTTCAACACAGATTTTACAAAGTACGCCAAACAACAGTGCAACATGTAAATTGCGCCATTCATTGACAAATGCAGGTACTAGCTGTGAACACACCAAGCCCACTAAAGACGATCCAGATACATGCTCCATGGCAAATTGAGAGTAACGTAAATAACCACGGCATTTGTTAGCCAGCACCCCAAGTTGGCTATCCAGCACTCTAGCGACTGTAGGTGGTTTATTAAAGGCCTCGGCATCTACTACAGCTACTTTCTTCTACTATCGCTGCTTTCTTCTACTATCCTTTACTTGCTTCTACTATCCGTTACTTTCTTCTACTGTCGCTACTTTCTTCTACTGTCGCTACTTCAGTGTGATGCTCCCCAAACATTTGTATTCATTGCTTAATATATTCTACCACCAAGATGTGCGGCTTTCCTCCCCCAAGTTCTCCTCGGCGTTCTTGGCCACTTCCTCATCTTTCTTTCCCTATTTAGACAAACCTTGTCAGTAATCTAAGTTGCCCATATCTATGAATATACTCACGCATTGTTCGAACAAGGCCTGAAATCGTCAGTATTTTTTCTTTGCCCACCATGATGAGATGCTTACCTCTGCTTTGGCGTCCAAATCCTGTGATGTTACCGAGACGCTGAATTAGTAATGACCCATCATGAAAATCGGGCATACTAACGTCGTCGTTGCCGGCTGCTGGGCCGGTGCGGGCTGACTCGATTGTTAGTAAGCTGTTGTCAGTGCTTCAAAGAGTCATGTCGTACCTCTTCATTACCGCGCTGAAACAATTGGTTAGCAACATCGTCATTTTCCAATTGAGAAAAGAGGTGGTCGCAGAGATCAATATGAGACTCACCTTCTGGCCCCGGGGGCCCTGCTGCTGGTTGGCGTCCTATAATCATATCAGCTCTCACCTCCCTTCAAACGGTAAAAGACAGCGTTGAGCGGATGTCAGAAACTCGGCAATTATGGTCAACTTACGTTGTTCTTGTTGGCCTAGGAGAATCAATGTCAGCTGGATTCTTGATTGGACGTATCGGATTGGAGGCAACATGGTAGATGTTCATACGTACAGGCATCTTGAGGAGCTAGCATCAGACATCGTTAGCTCATGTTGGATTACTCTGGAATATCCCTTGATGGGGACTTACGAATGGCTGGTATTTATATGGTCGCAGCACCAGATTAGACGTTCGGTGTAGGTGGATCGGCGTAGTGCACGGAAGACGCACTAGAAATTTGGTACTGCAAACCAAAGTCAGTATTGCATGGCTTCTAAATCTTACCAATTGCTCCATGAGCAGAGATTAAGGGAGTGATTCGGGATACTTACAAAACAGACGTGGCGTGGGACTTGGAGAAGAAGAAAAGAAAGAAAGTTTTCAGGGGAAAAAAAGCCAACAAAAGATGGGCATGCCGAACAGGAAGGAGTGGTATCAGGTATCGATACCATGTCGATATCAGGACTCGCGTCGTGCATGTACGTAGGTACCTACATGTACTTGCACATCTGCCCAGGTGTCTATCTCAGCGGATCGTGACAAAATATTATCAGTTCAAACAATAAAGACAAGATGACGACTCAGCATTGTTGTAGTAGAATCCGATTTTTGCCATCATACACGGAACTTTCGAGCTACCGACAAAAACGCCGGCCAGCCTCGACGGCGACGAGTCTGACTGGTTGCGTCTCAATATTTCCTGGAGAATTTTCGAGAGACTGGTCAAAATGTGGAAAGCTTATGCGGCGGAGATGAAAGAGCTATCCAACAAACTGACCAGAGTCGAAAGACAACCGACAACTGTCAAAGAAGTGTCAAGCACTGGCAAGGCTTGACGAGACCATCCTCACCAACCCGCGAGAGAAGTCCCAAACTGTGTGCCTCAAGGCCCTCAAGACAGGATTTCCCTCACGCCGTCCGACGAGATGAGTGACGATCCGGCGAGAGTCTCGTTTAATACGAGCAGCGACCATCCTACTTCCACCTGGATCTGGAGAGGTATACCCATCATGATGCATCATGGCCGGCCACCAAGTTCAAAAGTCTATTCGAATGATTGAGGCAGAAGAATTTAAGGTGAAATAAATGGCCTGATGAAGGATCAGACGAAACCAAGACTCCTCTCATTCCCGATCTGGATCGTATTGACGACGCATGTGCCAAGGCCTTACACCATCTAACCTGTATGTGAGAGGCCCCTAGAAAAAGTTTCTGTCCAGTCTATAAGCCTCCAGGAACAGTATTCCGCTCATTTCCCCATATTAGATGTCGAGAAGCTTATAGACTTGTTCAATGGGGGCTTGTTTATTATATTCCTACTATCTGTCTAGGTACAGCATCTATAAAACCACATGGAGCAATATCTTCATGCCACAAAAGCCCAAATGCCTCAAGTATGCGATGATCACCGCAGTACAAGTGCAATTGTATTCTCGCCAGACAGTAAGATGACTCGATACTTTAAATGTGTTGACGTAAACAGTCATAATAGAGCATCATCATTGTCGCCGACGGAGTTCATTTTCGCCCTCCATCTCATTACGAGCCGTGCCCATGCATCGTAGGTAGAATTCGGGTTTCAATCACATATCTATTGAAGATTATTCACGTATTCGGTCAGTAGTTGTGTCTCCCCTGTCTCTTGAACGTTGATAAGGATCTAGCAGCACCAGAGTACATGCAACTTGTAATTAACCCTCAAGTAGATGTAACCAAGTATTTAACCTAGCCTTGCCCTTTGCACATGATGGGGCATTAACCACGATTATGCACGTCATTTTGCATCATGTCCAATGAAAAATAACTGATTGGGTAGTGTGGCCAGTTATTTATCTTCGTGATGCAAGGCGCAAGGCTTGAGATGCGCACGTGAGGTATCTGTCGAATCGCAAGTAAGTCTTAACCTCCAAGATCCATCAACACTACATTGATGCCATTCTTGCATTATAAGTTTGGTCTTACAAGCCGTATCAATGAAGAACCCATGTGCTGAACATCATATTAGTTTGAGCCTGTGTGATTCTGCTGGTAAGACGGCGGATGGTTCCCTATTGCAGGCTACCTATCACCACCACTCCTTCAATCTTGCTTTCACAGCATTACGTATTCGCCTTGACTGGGTATCCGATGTGTCTAGACTTCAATCTGTTAAAATATGCTTTATCCCAATGGCGATCTCTTGGCCTCAATGTCTCACTTTATTACCGAGCAAGGCATCTGACTGGGTGCCACATTTTAATCTTTTCCACCATGTCGGCTCCCTCAACAGCGGACCGTTCATATGGGGCCGTCTCTCCCTCCCTGGAGATCATCTTCAATAGGTATTATGCTCCCACTTTTAACCGGCGGGAGATCTATGCTTTAGTGCTTTGCTTGCTAGATCATCGGGTACATTTATTCGCAAAGGATACCAGCCGCTTCACATTCTAGCACTGCACCAACACCTATGGAACAGTAAAGACCATGCTTGGTATCTGAAAGATATTATCTTTATAAAAATGAGTCAAAGATGACGCGGCTTACGCATTGTAAGATACGCAGAGATATCTCTCGGCGCTGAAGAATGACCGACAGCATGTCTTCGATATCGTCATGTCGCGCGAATCAAAACTGAAAATCGCTACGGGTGTTTGCCAGCTTTTCACAGCGCTTACATCCCCACTGCACAGCCGTGCCCGTGCAAAGCTGAATATCAGAGTACTGTATGCAGCGTGGCGAGCTGAGTCCCTCGAATGCTACACATCAGGCTAAGGTAGGGCTTTGTCTTACGTTACAAGGTGTGATTGGCACGTTAATCTGGCATCTAGACAAGACCCTGCACAGAATTGCAACACAATCTGGTCGGGCAAAAGGCTCCGAATAGCGTCATTGGTGTGTGCCTTGCTGTCGGATACACCGAGGCTACAGATCATGCATTTGCGATAGCCCTCAAGCTATGCAAAAATGCTTCGCTTCGCACAGTCAACTATTGGTAGTGGCAGTGATGCTCCGCCGTATCGTCCAACAGATAGCCTATTATGTTGCAACCCAATCAACAGAGCTACGGATGCATAGTCTCGAAAACATCTCCATCGAACCCACACGATAGCCGTAGGGAGTTGTGGATCTCACCGCTAGCAAATGCTGCAGCGTCCGAAATTTACTCTCTTTTCGGATATGCTCAGCTTCTCTCCCGCAAGGCTGCCACACAGGTTTGCTATCTTATATCCAATAAAAAGTGATTAACGTCATCTGATCCGGAATGTGAATGACATCTTTACTGATGTACCATCACGATGGGTCATATCCCATCGATCTGTTTTTGTGGGCACGTCCGTGAATGCGGCCCACGCCGAAGCA